ACGCAAAACCATAACAAAACACCCTAAAAGCTTGAAAACACAAGACGTCGTTTACTTGCCGTCTCCCACTCACCACCCCCACAACAGCAGGACCTCGAAAACGCTATCACGGGCCACCACACCACTTCATTCCAGGTTTAGTGCAGTGAGTCTGGTGCAGCATACAAGCTCTCTTCAGCATGGTATATCTCAACGCCCCGACTACATCCGGGTTAAAAAACGACGCGGCTCGGGAAAGGGAACGCCACCCCTGCGCCATCCTGTTCGGCTAACTGGGTACACGTCCTGGGCGAGGAGCGTCACCCTCCGTCACCCGGCAATCCCGATGAGAGATACCCCGATGGCACCTCTCAACGGACCCTCCGTACGAGGTCGACACGTCCACGCCGCCGGTCGCGGCCAGCGTGCCACGACGTCCTGCTCGCCATCGGCGCGGACTGCGACGTGAGGCCCACCGCGATTCCTGGCCGACCACTGCTCTGGCGCGCAGAGCCAGACGTCGACCATCCGAAGCAAAACGTTCCACGCGTCGAACATCGGTCGGCGAACGGCTGTCCACGCGGCGACCAAGCCTTCGTCGGCCTGCTGGCGGGAACATGCCCGCGGGATACCATCGTCGGACGACGCGATGAGCACTGCTGCGTCACGCCGACGTGTAATCACGATTCAGCGTGACGGGAACACCGGATAGTCGGCTGCGAATATGACATGCGTGCCCCATGCCACGTCAACCATTGCGCCACCGTTCTACCGTGCATGCAGGGTTGGAGACCTGCCCACGGATCGCCCGCCAACACCTGTCCGCCGAACCGCGACGGTGGCACTCTATGCTATGACCCACCGACGGCCAAGTGTCTATGCCATTTCAAATCTTGTTTGTTGCGTTGCATTCCCTTTCATTCTAGTGAGCCACATTTCCCTTAGTCATTTTCACGCTTCTCTGAGGCCGACCGACCTCGCGTGGTGCAGGGTCGACGACGAGCCACGCCGGTGTACGAGTGCGTTTAGGTCGGCAAACTCCACGGGCTTCCGACTTAGGATCATTCGCGGTTTTAGACTACGATGACTAGCTAGGTCGACAACATCCGAAAGTGGCCGACCTCTTTCTTCGTACCCTCAACCAGTATTGTCATTGCCATTAATCCCCAGTACGGCCTCGAATGGCCAGGGACCAGTCTAACAACGACCCGCCGGACAACACCCCAATGAACAACACCCCGACCAACAACACCCCCCCGCCCACCCCCCCCCCCCCCCCCCCCCCCCCCCCCCGAACAACACCCCGCCGAACGACACATTGCCACTTAACACCCCGCCGACCACAATCACTCCGAACATCACCCACCAGAACACCAATCCGCGGCCTGAAGCTCCAGAATTGTCCGACATTGCCGCGGAGTTGACAATCGCCGAGATCGATGAGAGGGCCGAAAGACGGGCGGTCATTGCCACGGTGCGAAGGCAATACACAGCAGCGATTGTGCAGTATCGCCTTTGGTCGGCTGAACACCTACCGCCGCGAGACCGCGGCGACAACTAGAAGCCGATGGGAACAACTTTACCCGCCGACATGGCAGGCGTCACGCCGCCGGTGGTGAACAGCGCGATTCCCGACCTGAACGAGCCTTACTTGGTGGTCGATGTAGACGCCGCTAGGGCAAATATTCCCGCCGACCCTACCATCCCTCTACCGCCAGGAACGAAAGGGGCTCCCCAACCCGAGCCGGACCTGTACTCGCCTTCGGCCACGGAGCAGCCGCCGCCGATTGGCCCATTTCCCGAAAACAACATGGAGTACTTGACCATAAAAGATTTGTTGGCAACCGATGAAAAAGACGACGACTTTCTGCATAACATCCCGCGCGACAATTTTGCGGAAGCCGCCTTCAACATCAACAAAGAGCTCGCCAAGAAGAACAGATTGGTGAGGATGATGTGGGGTATGCGGCATCTGGACACGCTGGAGGCGAGAACGACCCGTGTTCAATACCTGCGGGCGCTGCTCGACTTCAGGAGATGGTGCTGCAAGGAACTCCCAAGACAGCAAACCGCCAGATTCAAGGGGGGCGCCGTGCTGGAGCACGAGGACGAGATATGGAGGTACATCAGCGATGACATGGGTGATCAGTGGCACACCGCCAAGGACGACCTTCTTTGGATGCACGGTCCCCGCGTCAACGCCACGCGGATCAAGGCGTACATTCTGTCAATCGTCAATCGCGTACATTCCGCTCAGAGGTGCGCGCGATGGTCAGAGAGAAGTGGCACAGGGACGACAGGTAAGTCGCCAAGTCGTCCCACGCGTTTCACACCCGTTTCCCTGTTCGCTCAGCTAACCCAGTCCTCGTGGGAATTGATATGCAGGGATTGCGTCGACCGGCACCGCGGAACGCTCGGCGACACGTACACCACCAACCAGATCCGCCACCTCATGTTCAAGGTCTTGCCGACCTGGGCGGCTCGGGCGTACGAACCCAAGGCGGCCACCCCCTCCCAAACGCTGTGGAAGTTCTTGTTGATGAAGACGATGACTCTCCTGGGTCACCACACCCTTCTCCGCGAAGCCAGCCTCCGAGCGATCGAGCTCTCCGACTTGTTCTTGTACAGAATGGGGAGCGCGTCACCCGAGCACTCCACGCGACGACCGGTTGTCATGGTCATCGCGTCACAAAACTCCAAGACGAACAAGGATGCTTGTCTACACCACAGCTACGCGGCGAGACACCTGGAGCAGGAGATGTGCGCCGTCGGCCACACACTGTTGTGGCTGCACTTCGTGTACGACCAGCTGAACCGCTCGCCGACCTCTCGATGCGTGCCGCCCCTCGATTTCAGTACTCCGTACATGTGGTATCACAAACACCTCTTTCATGCTCGGAACGACAAGACACAAAACAGCTGTCGGCTTCATCCCATTCTCGGATCACGAAGGAGATGTGGCGGACGAACAAGATCTTCATCACGCGCAACACCCATGCCGCCCGGGAAGGTGGGGCACAGGAGCTGGCCGACGACGGCGTTCCGCGATCTGACATCGCCGACTTGGGCCACTAGGCGCTCGACAAGCTTGCGAAGAGCTACATCACGACCATCCCGAAGGCAGCGGTGTTGAGAAAGGCCGGCTACACAGGCAAATGCGGCGACTACCACCTCGGTCGGAGCACGGTAAAGCTCGACGACAAGGTGGTGGCCCTCATCGCCCAACACATCTTTCCGTGGGCGGAAGTGGAACTGGTCAAGGTGAGTAATTCAGACGGTAGAAACGCCGACAACCCGCCGACCATTTCCACGCCGACATTCCACCGGCAGTTGATTGTGTTTGTGTTTTTGTTCGACTCGCAGGCGATCAACTGCGCATCCGCGAGAGAACCCAACACGGCCGGGGTGCACTTCTTGCAATCGCTCATCGAGTTCGGCCGCCGAATAGTCACCGATGATCTTGCGTGCATGCTGATGCGCGAACCATGGCACCCGTACGTCCAGAGTTCCAAGCTTTGCCGCGACCCCGACTTCCAGAAATGGGCCAAGGACGTCAACCGGGTGGATCCCAAAACCATCGCCACGCGCTGTACAACGAGTGAGAACCCCCAAGAGGTACGGCGTACGCGTTCCGGCGACCTGTAAAACGAGTCGTCCTGCTACATTTGCTGACCGTTTGCCGACCATCCCCCTTGGATCGCAGGAATTCAGCGCGCGAGTCGACGCCGAACATCAGGTCAACCAGCTCACCATGATGCTGCACCGCCAGAGGGAGGATGTCGCGATCGAGAAGCTTGAGATGCAAAAGAATTTGGAGAAGGACGCGCATATCGCGAAGTTGATGCAGGCTCTCCAGCTGGCCGAGGCACGGCCGACGCCGACTGCGCCGGCACCGTCAAGGCCGATGACCGACGCCGAGAAGGCAGCAGCCATCAAGATCAAGAAGGAGCAGGACGACGACCTCGCGTACAAGGTGGACGTCGTGCACCCCTGGCGCACGTCCAAGACGGTCGAGGCTGCCTGGCGCTGGTGGAACAACCCGTCGCACGTGGACGCGCGGCCTTTGCGCGAATGTTACGCGGAGCCCAGATTCCTCGTCCGACACAAGTGCATGATCTGCAAGGTCGAGAAGGCCGACAAACCCGCAGCGTCGCCGAAGTCGGCGCAGAGCTCTCGGGGCCGAAAAGCGCCGACCGACGATTCTCCCACCACCGCAGTGGGAGAATCGGGGAAAAACGATGCGCTGTAGCACTCCACGCGCCGGATGAAGCGGATCATGGAAACCGTGCACCATTTGCGGCGGAGCGACAACGACACTGACACCGCCGCCGTGGTCAAGCTACTCCACCACCTGGGGCGGGCGGGTCTTTCTTATTTCAGCGACGCTCTCATGGTCCTCCATGCAACCACGCCCATGCAGATCCCCACCACAGCCGTCGGAAAGCCGACCGGCATCAAGGGTCTGGACAAGCCGCAGCATAGGAAGCTGACAATTGCGTGGGGCGTTGTATCTGCGGGCTACGCCGACCCCGATTGGGGAAAGACGATCTTCGGAGACTTGTAGGAGGAGCAGGCCAAGAAGGTCGGCTTGGAGGCCGGGGCGACCGCGGGAGCGAGAGCGGAGAGCTCCGGCGCTGGGAAACGCAAGAGGGCGGGCTGAGGGTAGTCCGTCCGTGTGCGACTTGTGGGGCGTGCTGAGGGTGGTGCGACCGAGGGTGGGCTGACGGCGGGCTTATGGCTGGCTGAGGGCGGGTTGAGGGGGGGCTTAGGGCGGGCTGAAGGCGGGCTGAGTGTCTCCGACATGTTTTTGTTTGTACTATTGCCAATTATTGACCGACTACTTGTTCAATTTTGTTTCTCTTGTAAATGCATCAAACCGACTTCACAAGGAAACCAACGATCATGTTCAAAACACAACTACACAACAACACGCACAAACTACCTTAACCAAAGTCGGAAAGCATGCAACGTTTGCACCAAGGCCGACCACGACAACAGCAGTCGAACCAGGGTTCGTCGACCTAGGCGTCGGCCGCCTGCTTCCCTTTGTGCTGCCCCCTCGCCCCCCTGTCCCGAACGATCACCTTCATCCCGGCGTCAAGAGGCAAAACGACGCCGCGCGCTTTGAATTTAGGGCCGCCGACACAGCAGTCCCCCCAGAAGGCGAGGTTCTCGATCATGACACGGGCGATCAGATCGTCGTGTTTGCGCTCGTCCCCGTCCTCAGGAAGTGACCTCAGCACAGCGCCTTGCAGGTCCTTTGTCACCGTGTCGGCGACCTCTCCTACGACGACCTCCCGGGTCGACGCCCGTTGAAGCACCACCTTGATGACGCTCTTACACCTCTTCGCAAACTCGGGGGACGTACCGCGTACGGTCGCTGCCGCCCCCCCTTCGCCGGCCGCTACTTCCGTCGTGGATCTCGGATAACCGTTCCGACTCGATGCCCGAAATGGGCATGACTTTCGCGGCCACAGGTGCGAAGGCGGCACACATCGAAACGCGTGCGGTCATGTCGCTCGCCATCTTATTCTTCGTGGCCTTCTCGGGCTCGGTCGACTCAGGAAGGTCGCCGAACCACACCGCCGGGCGAAGAGCCAACATGAGAACTACGCGGTCGGCGTCGGTTATCCTATTGTATTCCGCGACCACCTCCTGGAACCTGCGAAACACAACAGCACGACCCACCGTCACCGACCGACCCACGCGTACCGACCGAAACGAGCACCTACTTGAGCATTCGCCAAGCTTACCTGTCGCGGAAGACGTTTGCGCCTCGGCTCCACATGACCGTCCACATGCCCCCCGGAATCAAGCGCGCCACATTCCAGTCCGCCTTATACTGCTCCATCACATCCTCCTTGACCCCATCGAACTCGTCGCGAATCACCTCGCTGACGAAGCCGTCGAACGACGAAATGGCGACAGCGATGCAGTAGGCGGCCTCGGACTTGTCCATCGACCGGTAGATGTAACGGCTTTTCTTCCCAAACTTCATCTCTGACGTGGCCAGCCCGCTCTCCTTGTCAACGCGGACGCCTGAACCCTTCCGACCCTGCGTGGCCGCTTTGGACGTCCCCTTGGAAGAGCCGGCCTTCGCCGGGCCGCCCTTGCCCTTGCGCTTCTGCTTCCCGTCGCTGACCTCGCCGGTTGTGGCCGGGGAGGATTTGGCGCCAGCCGCGCTAGGGTCCTCCGCAGGTGCAGTCGAGGCGGCGGGTGTTCCCTGTTGCGCTCCCACAGTGGGAGCTGCTGCTTGTAGTTTTCCCGCATGACCTCAATTTCCCGGTTCGGCATCACGATGCTGGCGAGGATGTCTTCGTCCACCCCACCGGCCTCTTCCACCACTCTCCACACAGCCGCCTCCACCGTTGAGGCACTCGGCCATGCAGTCGCCGCCGTGACGTTCGGTGCCTCTGCTCCTTGGTCGACCGCCTGGTTGGTGTGAGTCGGAGGAATTTCCAGGGTTTTCTGACCATGATCCTCGATCCATTTCATATACTCGTCGAGCGATGGCCTTCGACCGATTAGAGCCTCAACCGCCTGACTCTCAACAGCCTTAGGGATCGGGATCGGTTCAAGGCCGACCATGGCCCCATGAACGGGTAAGCTGGCCGCACCAGCAGAGCCCGTGGTAAGCGGAGGCGGGTTCGGCAGCGACGAGGTCGCCTGGGCAGTACCCGATTTGGTCAGCGCTGCTGCCGTCGTCGACACGATCACCGACGTGGCAGCCTCGACCGCGCCGCTGGGTAGGACGCCTGTCGCTCGCTGCTCGGGGCGGAAAGACTGGTCGGCCAGCTGTGCCGTGACGCCAACCGGTCTCGCGCTACTGACACTCGCCGGACTCGTCGCGGTGTGGGGATGCTGGCCCGCCCCGGCCAGCTCGACATGCTGTCCGACCACCGCTTCTGGGCGCAAGAGCTCGTCGACCACCGCCGTGACGCCACCCAGTCGCGCGTCTTGTGCGGTCGCCGTGCTCGTCGACGGGTGAAGATGGTGGCCCGCACCGGGCGGCCCGCCCTGCTGTCCGACCACTGCTGCGGGGCGCAGGAGGTCGTCGGTCAGCTGCGCTTTGATGCCGGTCGGTCGCGCAGTCGGCGTACTCGTGGACGGCTGAACATGCTGGCCCACAACTGGCTCCCCGCGCGGCTGGCCGACCACCGCTGCGAGGTGCAGGAGCTTGTCGGCCATCCGGGCCATGCCGCCGCTCGGTCGAGCGCCTTGTACAGTCGCCGGACTGGCCTCGGGCTGTGGATGCTGGTCCGCCAATGGCTTCCAGCCCTGCTTGTCCCCAACCACGGATGCCTTTCCCAGAAGCTCGTCTGCCGGATTCGCCTGGTCGCAGCTCGGTGGCGCGTCGTGTGCGCTTGGCGGATCGGTCGGGGCGTGTGGGTGCCTGTCCCCCACGGGCTGCCCATCGGTCTTCCCGACCAATGAAGCTCGATCCTGGAGCGCGACGTCGATCTGTCGAAAATCGGCGCTCGGTCGCGCGCCAAGTCTCTCTTTCAGCAAGTCTTGGACGCCGGGGATACGAAAAAACGGAGCGGCGGGAGGATCCACGCCGACACCGCGTTTCACCGCAGGTCCTCTGCTTCGCTTTGTGGCGCTGGTCTACTCGCCGGTCAGGGATTTTTTGTCAGCGACCCTTTTCCCCAACTGCCTTGGCGCCAGCCCATGCTCCTCGGCGGTTTCGCGACCGCCGTGCATCACCGACTCGAGAGCAGTTGGGAGGAGGCTAAACCCGGCAGTACCAAGGCCATGTTGGGTCGCGGAGGTGACCACCTTCACCAGGTCGTCCCTAAGCTCTTTGATGACTTTCGTAGTCACGGCAGCGGCGATCCCCTGCGCCTCGCTCTCCATGGCGGCCTTCACCTCAGCAGACACGACGGTTCTGATCTTCTCGCCAAGAGCATCTGCCACACCTTGCAACAGCAGGACGTCGTCCTCCCGTCGCCTACCCTGTGCAGCAGTAGCCGTCAAGTACAGGGCCTGCACGGTGGGCAGCCACCTCTGGTTCATGAATTCTAGGGTGGAGCCGCGATAGTTCACCGCCTCCTGCTCAACCGCCCTCATAGCGTCCACCCCCGTTTGGAGGCTCCTCCCCAACGTCTGCTCGTGAGAGGTCACGCTGTCGGCGACTGTCGTCAGCTTGTTCACGGTTGAGGTGACCACGCCGAAAAGCGTGTCCATCCGGGCCGTCTGGTACTCCAGCCTCTTTTCCGCCACCACCTTCTCCTCCCTCAGCTTCTTGTTCTCCCTCTCCGCCGCCTTCAGAAGCTCAACGGCCGCCTTCGACGCCATCCTAGTCGGGATCGAGCCACCGCTGCCCCGCGCCTTCTTGCCCGACTTGGGTCCGCTGCCGCCGCTCTTATCCGCAACCTTCTCACCAGCGAACTGTACTGCCTCCTCTTCGCCGGTGACCACGACGTCATCCTCACGCTCCTCATCCTCCTCCTCCTCGTCCGAGCCACCGTCCTCCTCCCCGCCCCCCTCCTTGTCCTCCCTCTCATGCTCCTCCTCGCCGCCATCTGTGGGTCCGTGCCCGCCAGAGTGTGACCCTGCCGCAGCCTCCTCGGCCTCCCCACCCAGAGCGATGCCCGTTCCGACACCACGACCCACGGTCGACGCCGCCTCCCGTATGTTCAACGCGGCCTTCTCCACGTAGTGCACCAGCTCCAGTCGGAGCGCCTTCAAACCAACCAGCTTCGGGTTCTCGATGATGAGCGGATCGTAGCTGCGATGCACGTCGTCCAGATGCTCCAATGACCACGCGAACGCGTTGACCGCCAGCAGCCCCGTGCCGGCGACCTCCGACCTTGAGGATGTCGGGCAATTTCTGCATCAACATCCGAAGCACATGGCGAGGTGAGTCGACGCCTCGACGACGATAGCCCAGGCGACATCGACGTCGGAAACTCACATCACGGATGGAGGCGGCAAGACTCTCCAGACATGCGGAGAGGACTTCGGCGGAAGGAGGCTTAGCCGTCCACTCCCTTCCCTCACGGTTTAACTCCGCCTTCACGCATTCGTCGAAAAACCTGCGATACGAGACGGAAAGGAGCCATCACACAAGGCGGCATGAACGCCGTTATGGAGCAGCGCGACTAGCTGGCGACGTTGTCCCACCTCAAAACGTTGGCGGCCTCCTCCTCGTGCAGCTTGGAGGAGGTCTTGGGGTCGAGGTGGCGGTAGAAGGTCCCGATCTGCTCCTCGTCGGGCAAAAGCAGGTCGCCAGGGCGCACAACAAGCAGCACGCTGCAGTGCCTGCCGGGAAGAGGTCCATACCTGCCCACACAAGCACGACGAAGACATTCAGGATTCTGTCCGGGAACAACAAGCAACACGGTCGCGAGGATCAAACCTCACGGGCGCGGAACACTCACACAGTGCACAAGGGGTTTGCGAGGGCTTCGAAGCCGAAGGCCGTCCCGAAGATCAGATAGTACGGCTTTGACGCCGTCCTAGCGGCGCAAAGACTCGCAGCGCGGATCAGGGCCACCCTGCCGGCTTTTCCGAGGCGATCGAGCTCGTACCTGGGACAAGCAGGGGCGAAAAGGCGGGAGCGAAACACTTGTGCGTTGAGCTACGATCCATGCCGGGCGCCGGGGTAAAGCGCCGACAGTAAGACAAGCCGATTCGGACGAAGGTTTCGCACGACGGCAACATTGCCGGCAGCAAGACAGGCGTCATCGACGTAGGGCCCATGGTCGAGGACAAGCAAACTGGTTAATAAGACGACGTAGCGCCACGACGTCCATCGCAGACGGACATCGTCGACCACGCGGGGAGCCGACAAGGCCAATTTCGACCTAGAAACGACGCCGAAGAAAACGCGCTGAACCCTAAAAAACTAACAAGGCGACCTAGGGATGCGCGCTCACGCGAGGCCGAGGTCGAGGCAAGGTTCTGTGAACCCGGCCTTCTTGTCGCGGAGGACTTCGAAGTCCTTCATCTCAAGCGTCACTATGTACCCAGCGCTGCCTACTGACACCTGGAGGGGTAATTCGGCCGTAGCCAGTACTATCCTGCTGGTCGTCCCAGGCAAAACGGGTGCGTCACCCCGAAATCTGATGAGCGATTCATATCGATAATCTCAAACAACCTTTTCCAACCTCACCTTAGAGCCTATCACAATGGCGACGATACGCAGAGGAACGACTCGTTTCTCCAGATCCGGCAAAACCTTCGCGACGCTGCTGGTTCTATCATCCCTCCTAGTAGCAGTCAGCCTTTCAGCTGCGAGCCCGTTCCCATCACGCCAGGAGATGATACGGAAGTGCGAAAATGGTATGACCTTGGATAACTGCGGGAGCTACTCGCCTTCTAGCGAGATCCCAGGAATCGCGGGAAGCTTCTTTCGCCATGCTATGGGGGGTCAGCTCATGGAGGAAATCGAAGGTATCGACGGCGGTCCGCAACAGTGCGCCGCAAAGTGCTCACCGGCTAACGGATGCAACTTCTGGCAATACATACAATACATTCCGGGAGACGAGCGAGAGTGCGCTTTGTGAGGGCTGCGAGTTACACGTCGAAACACTGTGTATAGGGTGACATGTGCCCGCCGATTCGACGCTCCGCCGAGGAGAATTGTTCTCATCACTCACGTTAAGCCTCCTAAATCACGTCGCCGTCACCCCTTTTCTTCCTTTGTTTGCAGTCCTCCTACGTGTAACCTATACGCGGGCAAGGTGGATTGTTCGAAATACGTATGCGGGATTGAAACTGGTGCAGCGAACGCGAAGGACCAAGGGCGTATCGGGCCAGGCTGTGCCAACCCTAACGCTGCTAATGACCCGCATCTTGTCGGCGCCCACGGCACGCGCTATGACTTCAACGGCCGTCCGGACCGCGCAATCTGTGTGTTAACTGACCGTGACGTCCACGTGAATATGATGTTGCGAGGGTACTATAGCGAGGACACGAGGAACGCCACACTCATTGTGGATAGGAAGGCTGTTCACACATGGATTAAGTGAGTCTCGTTTCTCCTCTTTGGGCCAAGAAGCTTGCCTTTTCTTTCAGCCTACGGCATTCGCAACCTCCTGCTCTCACTCACTTTCTGCGTCTGTCCTTACCCATTCCACGGAACAGGGAGCTTGGAATCGTGTGGTTCACGAATGGTGCGACTTACACCGCGCGACTGGTGGCACGAAACGGTAAGCAGCAGCGACGAGGCGACGGATTCATGAGGATGATTGAAATCGACGGTCAAATTCAGCCGCGCATGCGACTGGGCGACACTGTTCTCCCATCCAACGACACTGGTCTCACGATAACATTCAAGGCGGAAGAGAAAGAAGGGCCGTACGACGTGGATTACTACACTCTTGTAGTCGACGGGCTGTTGTCGCTTGACGTGAAGCTGCGTATAGCGCAACCGAGCCTCCAAACGCCAACGGACGTGGAAGTCCACATCAATGTGGGGGTGGCGAAATTTGCGCGCACTGATGCAATTCACAGCGTGTTGGGGCAGACTTTCCGCGCGGACCATGCGCAAAGGGCAGTGGAATTCCAGAAGTTGGTAGCTTCCCTCCACCGCCGCGTTTGCGCTGATGCCGAAGAGGGGAAGGGTTTCCTCGACGATACCTCCCGCTCTTATGAGACTAGCGGTGTACTCTCTACAGACTGCGCATTTGCTGCATATCGTATCCCGTACCTCTGGTTTATTGAGTAGAGTAATTAGCAGCAGTTTTGTTCTGTATTGTAATGCTTTGGTGGGTAGGATGTTGTGTGATTTCGCTTTGATTTGATGCACGAGGTCTCTACGTACTATGCCATATGCCATAAACATTCAATAAGACCAGTGTTAACAGTGCACAACTACCGATAATATGCCATGTGCCTACCAGCACCAGCGAATGGATCCACTCTTTTAGGCACATCTCCCCTCTTCTTTGCCTCTTCCACCTCTTTCTCCCTCTTTGCCTTGTCCTCCCTCAGCCAAGGCTCCACCATCTCCAGCAATGATGGTAGTTGCAATGCAGATGGCTTGTGGCTATCAGCAGATTGTTGTGTCGACTGATCAACTGATTCCAGCCGCTGCAACTTGCCCGAAGAGACAAAAGCGAGATGACTTGCCCAAGACTCCAGACCGTCAAATATATGTGTTGCATACACTACAGTAGCTCCTCTCTGCCAAAGGAAAGAGAACAGCAAGGAAAGGGGACAGGAGTAACAAAATCATGACTTCAAAGTCTGCAAGGATGCCAGTACACACATACTACACAATGCCTGCAGAAAACAGACAAACATTGTGAGGCTCACAACATACGGTAGTGCAGTAAACTAGCCGCAGTTGCCAACAGTGTGTTATCCCAAAGCAGTTCTGTCCTCCCCAACATGACTGCTAACGAACCCCAGCTCACCTCTTCACATTCTTCTTGGAAGAAAGAGAGGAGATCCATCCTGGCGACAACATCTAGGTCTACTGTCACCTCGTCCAGAAGCAGCACCTGCGGCATGAGAAGGGGTAAGGAGGAGGGAAGTATGTAAGGAGGAGGGAATTATGTAAGGAGAAGGCATCTGTGAGACAACATTTAATTTTTCTGTGACCTCGTCCAGCAACAGCAGTTGTGGCATGTGACAAGGGTGGGAAATATAGGAAGAAAATTCCAGCGTGGAGCCAACATCTAGGTAAAAAGTCATCTTAACCAGCAGCCCCATACACATGTTCACTTGCCTCTGCTATCCACCCTGCCTGCATTGCATACACACAAGATGTCAATATCACCAGCTCCATCTAGTGCTGGCGATCCTGGCTAGGGTTAGGGCTCATCAAACTGAGAGCTCACCTGCAACGCTCAAAGCAGCCTCATGCATACCTGCACTCACCTCCTCCACTAACACCAAACCCGTGGCGCATACTCCTTAGGATGTCAGATCCTGGCAATTCTGGCTAGAATCAGGGCCCATCAGCAGCAGCTCACCTGAAAGGGTCGCAGCAGCCCCATGCAGATCTGCACTGACCTCCTCCCCCCACCCTGCCCGGGGCGCATGTTCCATAGAAAGTACAGTAAAAGTGCAACTACACTCCACCTGGCTATTTTTTCTTGAACCAAGGCTCATCAGCAGCAGCTCACCTGGAAGGGTCGCAGCAGCCCCATCCAGATCTGCACTCGCCTCCGCTTCCCATCCGGTCCACTGCACGGCTGGCACAAATGCCATACAAGGTCTTAAATTGAACAGCCGATCAACCTCGCAATTCTGGCTAGAGTCACCTGGATAGAGTCACCTGGCTAGTTTCATGGCTCACCTGGCTAGTTTCATGGCTCACCTGGAAGGGCCGCAGCAGCCCCATGCAGATCTGCACTCGCCTCCGCTGCCCATCTGACACGCGGTGCATGCGCCACGTCAGATCAATGTCCAGCAGCTCCACCAGGTGGTCCCTGCGCGCTGCGTCCACGTCAGCCACGCCGTAGATCATGTGCTCCGCGCTGAAATCGCCTTGCAGAGGTACTTCGCCCTGCAGCGAGGGAGGAAAGACAATCCGGGTGTAAAATGTTGAGGAAGGAAATCAACAACTCTGCAAGGTGGCCCTTGCGTCCACGTCAGCAACGCCGTAGATCATGTGCTCCGCGCTGAAATCGCCTTGCAGGGGAGCTTCGCCCTGAAGCAGGGGAGACATGGCAGGAACAGCACGAATTGAATAAAACAGGAAGAGAGGTGAAACTCCAGCACCTCTACAAGATGGCCCTTGCAGGTTGCGTCCAGGTTGCAGGCAGGCACGGTGTAAGTCGTGAGCTCCACATTGAAGTCTCCCTCCGGAGAAACTTCGCCCTGCAGCGAGGGGGGAAGAGAATCGGCGATGGGCGAGGGAGTAAGAGCGACACTGGGCAAGCGGTGTGCAAGGGGGCGAGAGGGACACTGGGAAAGCGATGGGCGAAAGCATGAGAGGGACGGGCAGAATTATGCCAACTGAGATCAAGTTCTGAGACGTCTCAAAACTAAACTACGCCAACTGAGATCAGACAGTACGAGGTGGGCAGAAGCCTGAGAGTGGTGCTTTGCCACACTTCCACTGAGAGTGGTGCTTTGCCACACTTCCACTGAGAGTGGTGCAACAGTAGTGGTTTGGACCCTATGGCTTCTGAGAAGCAGCCGTAGAGCGACTGAAAGCTGTGGGTAAGTGTTTCACATTGTGACTTCCGTGAGGCTTTTGAAACTCAACAAGGAGTGTGCAGCTGTTGTCGTGGATTCCACTTTATGGACTCAAAAGTCACAAGGTTATAAATAATCACTGTGCTATTATAAAGAACGGGATCCCGTGAGAGCTAACTCACCGCACAGCCGACGGACTTGCTCCAGGATCCACTGAGGTAGGCGAGAGAGCCATCGTAGGGGCGCTATGTATGCTCTAGCGGGCATCGTCCGTACGTCATACAAGTAGATGCGTTTCAAGGCACACTCACCGCACAGCCGACGGACTTGCTCCAGGAACCACCGAGGTACGCGAGAGAACCGTCGCACGAAAGAGCTGTATCGTGGAATGCCGAGCGACCGAGCACTTTAACGACGTCCTTTCCACCAACCATGTGCTTTCCCGCCAACACTCTCAGGAGAGTCGTCTTGCCTGCACCGTTGGCTCCAATCAGAAGGCAGCGGCTGCCACGTGGCAGTGTCAGATTAAACTTGGAGATTAACGGAGGCTCGCCGGGATAAGCGAACTGCATAGACGTGACTTCCACGGCCGGGACTTCCGGACTCCCCGCATCGGCTGAAGCTATGGTTTCCATATCTATGTCCGCTGATTCCGAACGCTGGGAGCCCTTGATCACAGCGGTTTCACAGCGGTAAACGAGGAAAAATATCAGAACGTAAATACAAAGCTCGAAAGGAGAAACTTAGTCCGAGCGAAGACTTCGAGAATAGATATGTTCTCCTTTCTTTTCTTACCAACAGCTTTTACAACGAAAAGCAATTAGGCCGAGGCAGTTGAACTTGTGGCTGCAGTTGAGCGGCTTGTCAATCTCTAGGCTGAAACCTGGATGTCAGTTTCTGAGCGAGGTGGTGAATTTGGCGGGAAAACGAAAGCTGGTAACCACGCATGTTTGATGCCCGAACTCAATCGCTATGTGGTATCAGGTGCGAGACGTGGCGACATAGGCGACGTGGCGACTTTGCGACGTGTCATGGCGATGTGCCGACACCACTGATGGCCCTCGCAAACCGGCTCATTAGTTATTGGCTTAAAAGCATCTTCGATTAACCAGCCGAAGTCAGACATCGACACTTACGGTACAGCTGAAGACTTATAGAACAGAGGTGGAAAATACAAACTTCGTGGTACATTCCAAGAAGGTAATACGAAACCAGAATAACCTCATTCGAACATTCTAGAAGCGCGCTGCGTTGATTCTGTGACACACGCCAACAGTGCAACCGCACGCCCGCCTCAACGCCAGCGCGCCGCAAAAAACGAACACTTCCACGTCACGTCGGTAGCGAAGCGGGCCTACAAATACCAATCGCTTTTCCGATCTCAACATCCAAAGTTCTTCTCGATCAGCTGTCACTAGCTCTCTCTCGCGAGTTCACGCTCTGAAATACGCTAATTAAGCGACAACCTTTTAGAATTCGGCCTCTTTCATTTGGTCTTCGACACGCACAATGGCTCCCACCACCTGCACCTGCGGCGAGGCGTGCACCTGCACCGTTGAGAACTCCCCTTGCGGCTGCAAGACCGCTGCCGCCGCCACTTGCAGCTGCGGCGAAGGCTGCACGTGCACTGCGGAGAACTCTCCCTGCGGATGCAAGTCCGCTGCTGCTCCCGACGCTGGCGCTACCTGCAGCTGCGGGGAGGGTTGCACGTGCACTGCGGAGAACTCCCCTTGCGGATGCAAGTCCGCTGCTCCCGCCGCCGGGGCTACCTGCAGCTGCGGAGTAGGCTGCACGTGCACTGCTGAGAACGCGCCTTGCGGATGCAAGACCGCTGCTGCCGGTGGCTGCGGCTGCGCCAGCGGCGGCGAGTGCAAGTGCGGCAGCAGCTGCACCTGCTCCAGCTGCTAAGGCGTTTCCGTTGCCATCTTCTGTTGAGTAACCAAGGACGAAAATTGGCAGCAAAGTGCTCCTATTCTGCCAGCTAGTAGCAAAGCTGTTAGTTGTGTGTAGTGAAATACTGCGTATCATGTGTACAGACATTTTTCAGTGCTACTTTCTGTCCGTGTCTCACCCGAGCATTAGAACACTAAGGTGTTAGCGTTGATTACCAGGAGAACTCAGTTACTCCTTCCGCTTGTTGCATGGGCTAGTAGCTCACAGTCAACACCATGTTTTCAGAAGACAAGCCAGCCATTAACAGAACTGGAGAGAAAATGACCTTGCATGCAAGCAAGATTCCTACTACCGATATACCATAGGAAGAGAAACATGAAAATTTTATTTAATGAATCGAGATGTAAAATTTCTTCACATCTTCCGTAAAAAATCGAACATGCTGAAACAGGTCGAAACACATGTACATCATGAATTTTGCAAAAATTGAGTTTGAAATTCGATGTCACACTTCACATCAAGTAAATTATTGGTTACAACGAATGATTGTGCCTCTGCCCCAGCAATGACGCAACACAAGCTTCTGAGGTTCGCCGCCACCGGTCGTTTCTTCTGACGCCAGAGGTGTGTTTCATCCACGATCCGCTCATATCTGTGGTCAACTTCACATCAGATTTCAACCTTCTCTTCCTCCCACCTGAGAAGCAGAAATCAAGGATGGAACACGGAGTAAGCGCCAGAGCAACAGTTGCACCAAGCAGACGATCCATGCCGTAATCAGAATGCAATGTACGGGCTATTTTGACACGGAGTCACACACGAAAAAAGTCGTTACTCCGCAACACGAAGCACCGAGTAGCTCTCGCACAATCATGGGACTGAAACTTCATCAGATCTCAGCTCAGCCCAGGGGGGAGTGTAATGACTGTGCTCACGAACATGCCGGCAAAGCACCAATGAGAACGAAAACTACAGGAAATTACAGCATGCTGAATGATATAGAGGAACATGAGAATGACGGCGAAGGTCGGGCATCAGATTGTAAAAGGTGTAAGGTTATTTCCACACGGATCATTGATCCGATCGGAGCATAAGTGATAGAATAACGATCATATGCCGGTCAATTACCAAGAACTGTGAGAAAAGGCATAATAGAAATGCGCGGACTACAGAAACTCGTAAATCAGAACCTCGGCTGCCGAACAATAATCAGAGAACGAGAACAGCAAGAAACTTCAGCGTGCCTCATGGTATAGACGAAAATGAGGACGACAGCAGGTGAGTCTCGCAATCAAGAGCTGGCATCAGATTGTCAGAGGTGTAAGGTTGTTTCAACACGGATCATCAATCCGATCAGAGTGTAGCATAAGTGATAGCTTATTGTCGCATCATATGCCAGCCATTGACCAAGAACGAAAAGAAACGGCACAATCGGAATGTGCGAACGACAATCCAACAGTGACATCGCAAATCAGAAGCTCGCAAGTTAGGAACTCACATGTTATCAAGTAGCCGGGTGGTGCGCAAGTCTTTGCAGCAAAACGTTCCCAGCCACAACCACTCGCTCCAGGCCGGAGATTGCTACGGCGGGTCGCTGATAATGACCGAACCAACTCTGCAGCTGTTTATGTCACGACGTCATTCAATCATGGCGGCTTAACGCGCGGTTGCCTCCACGCGGCTTAACACATGGTTCCTGTTAGGATGTATGTTGTCGAAACCATCTCATCTCCTCAGCACACTTAGAGCCAGCAGAAGCGACGTACACGCCGCCACCATGACCTCCAATGAGAGAGCGTCAGGAAGAAAAGATACGAAGAGTGAAGAAGGAAAGAAACAATGACGATGCAGTCTAATAGAAAGCAGAGGAGATTTATTGTGGAAGCAGGGAAGTGACGGGATGAGGGTTTAGGCCAGGGAGGGGTGGGGGAAAAGGAGAGGATTGGATTGGGGGGTGATAGGGAGGAAATGTGGCGCGGGCAAACATCCATACGGAGGGCGTATTCGAAGTCGGTGTCCATCCAAGTTGGGACTTCCCTCTCCGACACCAGCTGCTTTGCATACATTACTAGTTGCTGGTGAGAAACGATAGTTCAAAGGCGAACCGTCTGGAAACACGCCCTTCGAGGTCAGCCCCCAAGAAGGGACACCACCACCACAAAGTAGAGAGGCGGAGGTTGTGCGGCGAAATTGGTTCGTTAGGAATACCTCGTCATCAGCTCTGCTGTGGCTGTATCCCTTATTATTAACAACGCATTCCAGAACCAATCAACTTCTGGGTTGGGGAAGGTGGAAATCTTTGTATAATTTTTGTCATACATCTGGATGAAAATCATATATTTTGATTTTATATAGAGTGAATAAGTGTATTTAAAATGATATTCTACTGTTTCAGCTTCACACTCACTAATATATCTCACTGAGGCTACAACTAAAATATATCAGACAGTTGTAGCCTAAGAAAGTTGGGAAACGATTTTTTGTAACCTGCAGCATGTATCCTCACGTCATTGTTCTCGCCAGACTTTATTTCGCTAGCGACTGACGTGGAACTCTGAGGGCGTCTGCTCACGTTGCCTTGCCACGCTGCACCCACAGATTGGTCATCCAAAGAACCCCAAACCCGCCACGTGTCCCGCCTCATCCGCCACTGTCCCCCCCACATGTTCTGTTCCGAAGTCCTTGTCCCAGCTCCATTCATTTCTGTTCCCCGTGTCTGTCATGTTTCCGCCAGCCCTTCCCCACCCCTACATTTTCCGCGCATACATTCCCCTTTTTCCCGTGAATTTTGCACATGCTCCCCAATCCCTCCCCCCGTTTCCGCCCGCCGTTCCCCCAATCCTTAGCCATTCATCTTTCTGGCATTACTACTAACTGCTATTCTTATCTAGGAATCCTCCTTTTTTCATCTGGGCCATTTTGGCCATTTGAGCACGACTAGGCTTCGGCAGTTGATTCGGTTTGTCTGATCCGAGATTTGCCGCGCTCCTTGCTCGTCTCGGTAACGTGAGTGTTAATAAGATGCGTGTAGGGAATCCCAGCGAAGCACGGCCGCATTGTAGTAATATGATTCTCACATTGTGTGTATATATTAAGCGCTGTCTATTGTTTTGCAGTGCACCGACTAATTTCCATTTTGCTCTCGTGCCTTTTAAATTGAACTCCTACTGTTCTTCTCTCTACCCCTCCCCCCTCCCCCTCCTTTCTTCGTTGATTAACCGGAATTACCATTTCCAGGACCAATCAGTGAACACACTGATCGTAGGACCGTCGTTCGAAGCGTCAGGATTTGAAACGTGTCAACGGGTGCGACGTCATGGGAAACGACGCGGAAACTACGCCGCCAGCTGCTTCCGCAGCCGCGGAAGAGCAGAAGCCAGCCGATGCCGCCCCCGCCGATGCGGCTCCCGCAGTAGATGCTGCCGCTACGGAGGGAGAGCAAAAGAAGGAGGGGGAGGGAGCGGAGAAGAAAGAGGGGGAGGGGGAGGGGGAGGGAGAGGGCGAGGGCGATGGGGTTGCTAAGAAGGACGCGGATGAGCTTCAGCTGTATCCTCTTGCGGTGAAGGGACCTGCTGGGGAGGAGATCGAACTGCAGGTAGGTCGAGACGGTTGCGGTACGTAATTTAGGCGCGTAAAAATATCGAACCCAAATAAACGGCAACATTTTGCTGAAGAAGGACATCGCTTGCGGTGATCGGTCCGGTTGAGTGCGGTGAAGAGTTGAAGTGGACTGTCGAGTGCGACGCTTGGTTCGGATCCCGTCCAGTTAATTAACGAATTCCGTCCATTTGTTCAGCAAATCCGTCATCTCGCCTGGCCGTTGCCACTTCCTCAACCCCACACCACACTGCACCCGCTTCGCCCTTTTTTCCCTCCTTCGCCCGCCCTTTTTCCTCCATCCCTTCCTTTTCCCCCACTTACCCCCCATCTTTCAGGGCAACCCAGCCAATACAGTGATGGTCTTGAAACAGTTCCTAGTGGACGCGCTCGAGACATGCTTCTATACCGCGTACAACCTTATCCTCTGTAACCGCGGACTCCTCCCCTTCTCTTTCTCCTCCCCTCCCCCTCCCCCTCCCCTCCCCCCCTCCCACACTTCCCTCCCTCTCACGCTTGCTCTCTCTCGCCCGTTCAGGTGAACCCTGCAGATACAGTAATGGATTTGAAGCAGTTTTTGGCCGACGCGCCCGAGACGTGCTTCTATACCGCGTACGACCTTATCCTCACCAAGCCGGACGGATTGCGTTACCACCTCATGGATTACGTGGAGATTGGGGAGGTTGCTGACGTGGCAGCCGGCGGGTGCCTGCTGGAGATGTTCAACACGTTCTACGATGACCGCGCGGTGCGGCTGCACGTGCGTAAAACGAGGGAGCTTATATCGATGGCCGGGTCGTACTCTAGCGCGTCTACGGCCATGGCGGCGGAGTATGAGCTAGTTAAGGGTCTCGCGACGGAGCGCGAGCTTGGAGGGGATGAGAAGGAGGAGGGGGAGGGGAAGGAGGGCGAGGGGGAGAAAGACGGGGAGAAGGATGGAGACGAGGGCGGGGAGTGGAAGAAGAGCGGGAAGGGGAAGAAGGGGAAGGGGCGGCGGAGCAAGGAGGAGGAGGCGAAGGAGAAGGAGCGGCGGGAGAAGGAGAAGGAGCGGGAGCGCAAGGCGAAGCTTCCGAGCAGCAAGGCGCGGATGGAGGAGATCGCGTCGCTGGAGCAGGGCGTGGGGCTGGGCGATGATCCCAAGGGCGTTCTCGCGAAAGTTATGGTGAAGGGCGGCGCGGACGAGGACGCCGCGCCCGTGTGTGTGGAGAGCATCGCCTTCTCCTCTTTCAATCCCGTGCCCGGGCCCAGGAGGTGAGGTTATGATTGTCCCCGCTATTAGACGCCTCAGTAGTCCGTTTTCACCTGTAAGGCGTTCTCGTCTACAGGAGGTGGTGACGGCAGAGGGAAAGCTCTTCTGCGTGACGGCGCACACGAGGGGCTTCTTTGTCAACCGCAGTGGCTGGCAGTCCCAGTGGCACATGTCTCATATCCCTCTCCACCACTTTCAACCGCTACCCATCCCTCTACCACCCCTCGCAGGCTGCAAGGCGATCTCGTGTACCTGGAGGTGGTGACGGCGGAGGGAAAGCTCTTCTGCGTGACGGCGCACACGAGGGGCTTCTTTGTCAACCGCAGTGGCAGCGGCCGCAAGCTGGACCCGCGCCCTGCTGAGCCCAAGATGGACGCGTCCACTCTCATCGGCCTGCTGCGGCAGATCAGCCCGCTCTTCTCCAAAGGTGAGCCGCACACTTCTGTCTCGAAAGGAGAGAAAGGGAGTTGGAATATCCCCTCCTTGCGCCCACCATATGGCGAATGCAGTCCGAATGTGAGGTATCAACCCGGGTTTAGGGGTTATGCCCTTGTATGCCTCTCTGTCGGTCATGGCATATATGATACCAACAATGTGGGAAAAATAAAGAAAAAAAAATAAAAAATCAAAGTACGGTCTCTTGAGGCAGCTTCAACATTTGCCCACACCAGCCACATTGGAGAAAAAACAAAAAAAAAACGCCAATGTCCATGGTTTTTGGTGTGTTCGCACCACCACACTACCAGCATCCCCACCCGCTCGCAGGATCCTGACATTTGCACACAGCCTTGCTCCCTTGCCCGATCTGTAGTTTTATTTTATGTCTAAAGATCCAATCATGCACTGATGCAAACAAATACTTTCAAATGCACAGGTCTAACCACCTTTAGCCCATCAGTAACTTTCAATAACCCTCAATATCTCTCCATTTGCCCTCCCCTTCCCCTACTTGACCCTCCCCTTCTCAGCCTTCGCGGAGGTGATCGAGCGCAAGGCCAACCGCCACCCGTTTGAGAACATGCTGGCACCGCTGCCGCCCAACGACTGGGCGGCAAAGCCCATCTGGGGCGGCGCGGACGGCACGGGGCCGCTACAGTACACGCGTGACGTGGCGCGATCCGAAGACGCTCTAATGGCCCCCTTTGGGATTGATTTCAGCGGGGTTCTGAGGGATTGGAATGAGGAGCTCCAGAGCTGCAGGGAGTTACCGCGTAACTCGTTACAAGACCGGATTCTCCGCGACCGGGCGTTGTATCGAGTCAGCTGCGAGTTTGCTGATTCGGCGGTGCGCGGCGCGAAGGCCGTGATTGGCCGGTCAATCCCGCCGATCAACCCGCATGACGCGGATCGGTTCCATATGTATGTGCATAATAATATCTTCTTTTCCCTGGCGGTGGATGGGGATTTTGCGGCGCTGCAGCAGATTAGAGAGGCGGAGCTGAAGCAGCAGGCGGAGGCGGAGGCTGCTAAGAAGGGGGAGGGGGAGGGCGGGGAGAAGAAGGAAGGGGGAGAGGAGGGGAAGGAGGAGGGGAAGAAGGAAGGGGAGAAGGAAGAGGAGAAAAAGGTGGAGACGAAGGAGGAGAAGAAGGAGAAGAGGGATAAGAAGAAGAAAGAAAAGAAGGATAAGAAGGAGAAGGAGAAGAAAGAGCAGGAGGCTGCAGTAGAGGAGAAAAAGGTGGAGGAGGCGAAGGCAGAGGAGGGAGATAAGAAGGAAGGAGAGAAGAAGGAAGGAGAGGAGGGGGAGAAGAAGGAGGGAGAGGATGCAGCAGCAGCAGCAGCGGCAGTGACGGAGGCAGAGCAGGCAACGTATGCATCGTCCAACAACGACCTCAAGGGCACCATGGCTGTGAACAACGCCGACATCCCCGGGCTCTACTCGCTGGCCATGGCCATCGTGGACTACCGCGGGCACCGAGTCATTGCTCAGGTAGGTGTTGGTTCGCGGGCATAGCCACTGTTCAGACGTGCTGTGGGCTGTGAGGTGCCCCAACGACCTCAAGGGCACCATGGCTGTGAACAACGCGGACATCCCCGTGCTCTACTCTCTTGCAATGGCCATTGTGGACTACCGCGGGCACCGAGTCATTGCTCAGGTGCGTGTTGCTGTGTTGCTGTATAGTATGGTAAGCCATTTGACAGAGGTCTCCCAGGCTCTACTCGCTTTCCATGGCCATTGCGGACTTTCCACCCTTCACCTGTTCTCTCAACCCTGTCTCCACTCCGCCACTTTCCCCCCTTCCCCCAATCGCAGAGCATCATTCCGGGCTTTCTGTATGGCTATCGGGCAAGACCATCAAGTACCTGACCCTCTTGTACCCTCTTGTATCCTTCTGTACCCTCCTGCACCCCTCACCTACCTTACCCTTTGTTGAGCAGAGCATTATCCCGGGCATTCTCTATGGCGATCGCACGACGCAGATGCTGTACGGGTCGGTGGACACGGGCGAGGTCATTAGTACCTTACCCTCTTGTACCCTTCTGTACCCATCTGTACCCCCCACCTTGACTTGCCTTCCCCCCATCACAGAGTATTATCCCAGGCATCCTCTACGGCGATCGCACGACGCAGATGCTGTACGGGTCGGTGGACACGGGCAAGACCATCAAGTGGAGCGACTCCTTCCACCCCAAGGTGTGTGTGTGTGCGTGCGTGTAATGCTCGTTAGGTGCTGCTACAGTAAGTCACGAGTCATGCTGTTAAGGTGTCAAGGGCACGACGCAGATGCTGTACGGGTCAGTGGACACGGGCAAGACCATCAAGTGGAACGACTCCTTGCACCCCAAGGTGCGAACCTGCTGGCCGATGATGGATGAATGTGTGTGTGGGGGTGAAGGGAGGTCGGGGTGTGAGGCATCTCACTCACTCACTGCATCACTTTGTGGGTCGGTCGGTGGACACAGGCAAGACCATCAAGTGGAGCGACTCCCTCCACCCCAAGGTGCGAACCTGCTGGCCGATGATGGATGAATGTGTGTGTGGGGGTGAAGGGAGGTCGGGGTGTGAGGCATCTCACTCACTCACTGCATCACTTTGTGGGTCGGTCGGTGGACACAGGCAAGACCATCAAGTGGAGCGACTCCTTCCACCCCAAGGTGCGAACCTGCTGGCCGATGATGGATGAATGTGTGTGTGGGGGTGAAGGGAGGTCGGGGTGTGAGGCATCTCACTCACTCACTGCATCACTTTGTGGGTCGGTCGGTGGACACAGGCAAGACCATCAAGTGGAGCGACTCCTTCCACCCCAAGGTGTGTGCATGGGTGGGAGTGGGTGCGGGTAGGCTGTGTGTAAGGGTGTGTACGTGCGTGTATGTATTGTTGGCACTAGTTAGGTAACTCTTAGATTCTGTACGGGTCGGTGGACACAGGCAAGACCATCAAGTGGAGCGACTCCTTCCACCCCAAGGTGCGTGCATGGATGGGTGTGTGTGCATTGCTGGTGGGGGTGGGGGTGTGTCTGGGTCCCTGTGTTGGTGAAAGGGGGACGGGAGGCGCTAAGGCATCTTGAGGTGTGAAAAAGTCTCTCTAGCAGGATACCATACACACCACCACCTGTGACACATGTTCCACACCGCCACCTGTGACACATGTTCCAAGCCAAGCTGCATGAAAGACTGGTAAACAAGCCTACCTAAAGTCATGCCTCCTAAGTGGGGTTCCGTTGGACCAGACACACCGCCACCTGTGACACATGTTCCACACCGCCACCTGTGACACATGTTCCAAGCCAAGCTGCATGAAAGAGAGGGCAACAAAGCCCTTCAACCCATCACTCTCTCCAGGGTGGGCTCTCTGTGACATTATACCGAGTTGACTTTTGAGTCAACTCAAAAGTCAACTCGAGAGGGCAACAAAGCCCTTCAACCCATCTCTCTCTCTCCAGGGTGGACTCTCTGTGACATTATTCAGAGTTGACTTTTGAGTCAACTCAAAAGTCAACTCGAGAGGGCAACAAAGCCCTTCAACCCATCTCTCTCTCCGGGGTGGGCTCTCTGCCTTTCGTGTCACGGGTAACAAGTGATTTTTTGAGACGTCTCAAAAACTCTCTGCCTTTCGTGTCACTCTCCCCACACCCCCTCTGTCGCCCTCTGCTCATGTTCCTCCTCCTTCCCTCTGCTCATGTTCCTCCTCCTTCCTCTGCTCATGTTCCTCCTCCTTCCCTCTGCTCATGTTCCTCCTCCTTCCTCTGCTCATGTTCCTCCTCCTTCCTCTGCTCATGCTCCTCCTCCTTCCCCTGCTCATGTTAAACCATGCCAGGTGGCGGAGCTGGGGAAAGCGTTGCACCTCAAGGAGCACAAGGTGACGGACGGCGACGGCAAGGAGGCGACTCTGTGCTCGCCCGTGGAGACCAAGGGCATCCTGGGCAGCGATGACAGGTGCGCGGTGGAGAGTGGTGGGGAGGGGTGATGGGTTTCGGGGAGGGATTAACGAGAAGGTGAGGGTTGTGGGGACGGGGGTTCTGGTCTGACTGTTTGGCTGAGGGCAAGGAGGCGACGCTGTGCTCGCCTGTGCTCGCCTGTGCTCGCCTCAGCGCACAGGGCAAGGGCATCCTGGGAAGGGCAGTGGCGACAGTGTGGGTGAGGGGTGAGGAACGGATAGGGGATGAGGAACGGATAGGGGATTAGAAGAAGGGAGCGGTCAACTGGGCAGAAGGGAAGGGGGGACTTTCCATACTCACCTTTTTTCTGTCTTCTCTCTTCTTCCACTCTCTGCCTCCCTCCCTTCTCCGCCCCTTCAGGAATACCTGTTGGATTTGATCCGCCTCACTCCGCGTGACGCCAATTCCACCGCCACCATCACCACCGCAGCTGATTCTCTCTCTTTTTCCTCGTGCTTGCATTCTGCCCCCCATTTACCAACTCTCAGGAAGTACCTGTTGGATCTGATCCGCCTCACTCCTCGCGACGCCAATTTCACCGCCACCACCACCAGCACCACCACCGCTGCCACCGGCACGGATACCAACTCCACCGCCAACGCCGCCAACGCTGCGAATGCGGCCAACCGCCTGGCGATTCTCCGCCCCGAGCTGGTGGAGAAGTTTTGCCGGGAGGAGCAGGTGGAGCGATGGATGGCTCAGAAGGGCGTGAGCGAGCGGCCGAGCGCAGAGGAGGTGGAGGAGCTGAGGGAGAAGGCCGAGCTGCCTGACGTGCTGTTCAACCCCAACGTGCTGACTGAGTTCAAACTGGCTGATGATTCCAAGGTGGGTGTGAGTGCGCAAGATAGGCAGGTACCTGATTGATACAGTGCTGCCAGCACTGATGACGGATATCAAGAGCTGCTAGGGGTGGGAGGAACCATCCTAACCCATCACCGTCTCTTTACCCCCCTCACCTCTCACATATCTCACAGGAGGTGGAGGAGGACGAGGCGTTGGTGCGCAAGGCGGGCACATACCTGATTGACACAGCGCTGCCAGCGCTGGTGGCGGACATCAAGAGCTCCTTGGGGGGTGGAAACAACCCCTCTAACCCAGATTTGTCTCCCTCTCTCTCCCACCCATGCACCACCACAGGAGGTGGAGGAGGACGAGGCGTTGGTGCGCAAGGCGGGCAAGTACCTGATTGAGACGGCGCTGCCGGCACTGGTGGCGGATATCAAGAGCTCCGAGGGGTGGCCCGTGGATGGGCGCTCGCTCGCCAGCACCATGCACGCGCATGGCGTCAACCTGCGCTACCTGGGCCGGGTGAGTTCATTTGGGAGGGCGGTGGTGGGGCTCGGATGTATCTGCTATGTACATGTAGAGCACAGGCAGGGCGCTCACAGGCACCATGCACGCCCACGGCGTCAACCTGCGCTACCTGGGCCGGGTGAGTTTCCTTTCCCTTCCCTCTTTGGCCTTCGATGGGCGGGTGGGTTTCTCTCAAGCACGTGGGTCAGAGCACTGGTGGCGGATACCAAGAGCTCCGAGGGGGGGGGTGGCCTGTGGATGGGCGCGCTTGCAAGCACCATGCACGCGCACAGCGTCAACCTGCGCTACCTGGGCCGGGTGAGTGCCTGAGCCTCTCAGGGGCCTTGGATGGATGGCCGGGTGAGTGCCTCTCATGCACGTGGGTCGCGGTATTGGTGGCGTTGGGCGGGTGGGCATGCATGGTGCACATACTGCCTCCCATACTCCCCCCTCTCTCTCAGCTCCCTCTCTCTAACCCTCTACATTTCTTTCTCCCTCTCCCCCTCCTCCCCTCCCTCCCTCCCTCCCTCTCTCCCCCTTCCCCCCACCCTCCCTCCCCCCAACCCCTTTCTGAAACTGCCAGGTGGCGAAGGAGGTGGCTGACGTGGAGCAGGTGTACTGGCTGTGCGTGGCGGAGATGGTGGTGAGGGCCACCAAGCACGTTCTTAAAGCTGTTCTCCGCGAGACGCTCGAGCAGGACGTGGCCGGCGCCATCGCCCACTTCCTCAACTGCTCCCTCCCTTGCTGCCTTCTTTTACTCCCTCCCCTGCTCCTTCCCTTGCTTCCTCTCCTGCTCCCTACCTTGCTGCCTCTCCTGCTACCACTTCATACTGCCAGGTTGCAAAAGAAGTGGCTGACGTGGAGCAGGTATACTGGCTGTGCGTAGCTGAAATGGTGGTGAGGGCCACCAAGCACGTGCTTAAAGCTGTTCTCCGCGAGACGCTCGAGCAGGACGTGGCCGGGGCTATTGCCCACTTCCTCAACTGCTTCCTCGGCACCTCCACCACCACGCCGCCGCCCACGCTCCCCGGCGTCGGGGATACGGACAAAGCCGAGGGCGGCACCGCGGGCGGCGGGGGGAAGAAGAAGAAGAAGGGGAAGGGGGGGGAGAGGAAGGATGGGGAGGAGAGGAAGGAGGAGGGGGAGGAGAAGAAAGAGGCGTTTCTGTTTGTGGTGGATGTGCCGGGGTATACTCGCATCACGGCGGATATGGTGTGGTCTGATATTACTGAGGGCGTCAAGTACAAGTATCAGGTGAGAGAGAGTGGTGTGGGTGTGACTAGCAGTAACAGGCAAGAGGAAGGAGGAGGGGGAGGAGAAGGAGGCGTTTCTGTTTGTGGTGGATGTGCCGGGGTATACTCGCATCACGGCGGATATGGTGTGGTCTGATATTACTGAGGGCGTCAAGTACAAGTATCAGGTGAGAGAGACTGAAACAGGGTCCTAGAATTGATTGAAATGACAAGGAATGCTATGAAGGCAGCACGGCTGGTGTAGGTGGGACGCACAGTAGGAGGTGCGAAGTGGATGTGCCGGGGTACACACACTCGTATCACGGCGGATATGGTGTGGTCTGATATCACTGAAGTCGTCAAGTACAAGTATCAGGTGAGAGGGAGTGGTGTGGGTGTGACACTATGAGTTGAATTGAAGGCTAGTTACCATCCTCCCTTACTATTCCTTCCTATCCACTGCGTTCATCTCTCACTTTGTACTCCTTCCATCTTCCTGGGCCCTGCCCTGCCCTGCCCTGCCCTGCCCTCCGTTTCCCTGCTTTGCCCTGCCCTGTCCTCCCTTTTTCTGTTTTCCCCTCCCTTGCCCTGCCCCGCGCTGCTCTGTGCGCAGTTTGAGATCCCCCCCGAGACACGCAAGATGGTTCGCAGCCTCGCCACCCTCCGCAACATTTTGAGTTGCGATCCACAAAGATCCATCTCCTTATTTACCTGGGTCTGCCGTACACTCCTCTGCCCTGCCCTTCCCTGCCCGGCCTACTCGTGCACTGCTCTGTGCGCAGTTTGAGATCCCCCCCGAGACGCGCAAGATGGTTCGCAGCCTCGCCACCCTCCGCAACATCTGCCTCAAGGTCAGACTAAATACTTGCTACAATCATCTTTTCAGGCCCCAGTCCTGACAGCCAAGAACTTTGAGCTTTGGTGAGCTCTGGGGCAAAGAGGGCCTAGTCCTGGCTGGCAGTAAGAAATGCTGATCTCCACTGTGACTTGCCTAGTGCCAGTTGGGGTGTTTTTTGGAGCGCTGCACACAGATGGGCATTGTCCTCCTGGCTTTTCCTCATCTACACCCCCTTTCCTTCTCCTCCTCCCCACCATGCCACACTCTCCTCTCCTTGGGTTGCTGCCACAGATAGGCATCGTCCTGGCAGCGAGGGATTACAATCTCGAGTGAGACGTACCCATTGCGATAGCAGATGTGTGCGACCTCCAGCCTGCGGTCTCAATTCATCCTCTCTCCCTTATCCTCCTATCCCCGTGTTTCCTTATCCCCACAGATGGGCATCGTCCTGGCAGCCAGGGATTACAACCTCGAGTGCGACGTGCCCATTGCGATCGCAGATGTGTATGACCTGCTGCCGCAAGTCAAGTTCGGCCCACCTCACTCCCTCTCTCCCTTGTTGCCCCTTCTCCTTGTGTTTCCCCCCACAGATGGGCATCGTCCTGGCAGCCAGGGACTATAACCTCGAGTGCGACGTGCCCATCGCCATAGCAGACGTGTGCGACCTGCTGCCTTGATAATCATCTCTGCCCACTCCCCTCTCCCGATGTCCCCTTCATTCCACTCACAGATGGGCATCGTCCTGGCTGCCAGGGACTACAACCTCGAATGCGACGTGCCCATTGCCAGTGCAGACGTGTGGTGTGCGACCTGCTGCCGCAAGTCAAGTTCGCTTACACCCACTCCCCTCTCCCTGTCCTCCCTGTCTTGCCCTTCTCCCTGTCTTGCCCTTCTCCCTGTGTTCCCCCAACAGATGGGCATTGTGTTGGCAGCAAGGGATTACAACCTCGAGTGCGACGTGCCCATCGCCATAGCAGACGTGTGCGACCTGCTGCCCCAAGTCAAGTTTGCCTCACCTGCCTGCAGCGACGCTCAGAAGCTGCTGGAGAAGGGCAAGAGCCTCGTGCACAAGGTATGGGGGGGGAGGAGCATGGTGGGTGAAAGTCGCGTGGTTATGGGTGCGGCGTTTTGAGAATCTTTCAATGGTTGCACCTGTCCCATGTGCACCTGTCCCGTGTGCACCTGTCCCATGTGCACCTGTCCCATGTGCACCTCTCATCTGGTGGCAAATTAGCCGGGTGCACCTGTCCCATGTGCTTCCGGTCAGTATGTCCACCAATAGTGTTCCGCCACGTGGATACCCGGTGACCATGGCTGCCCATGCCATGCCCGCCTCTCTTCCCATGGTACATACCCTTGCCTGTCCATGCCATGCCATGCCATGCCATGCCATGCCTGCGCCTCTTCCGACGGCACGATCAATACTCTGCCAATACCCTTGCGCCCCTTTCACATTCTTCCTTTCCAGGTCGGCCTACCCCTGCGCCCGCGCGTTTCCGCAACCCCTCAGAGCGGGCAGTGGCTGCGGGAGCATCGACAGCTCAAGCACCCCTAACAGTGTGGTCCCTTTTCACACATCCCTTCTCTCACATCCCTTCTCTCACATCCCTTCTCTCACATCCCTTCTCTCACATCCCTTCTCTCACATGGTCCCCTCGTCCACTCTCTCCCCCCCCTTCCCAGGTCGGCCTGCCCCTGCGCCCGCGTTTCTCCGCCACCCCGCAGAGCGGGCAGTGGCTGCGGGAGCACGAGACGACTCTCAACTCCGCGTTTGAGATTCTCAGCGAGGCGTACCAGATCCTGCAGCAGGTGGGGCCTTGGGGCTGCTGAAGGGGATAGGGGGTGCTGGGCGGGGGGTTTGGGATTGGGGTTATGAAGGGAGGAGAGCACGAGACGACTCTCAACTCCGCGTTTGAGATTCTCAGCGAGGCCTACCAGATCCTGCAGCAGGTGGGGCTTTGGGGCTGTTGAAGGGGATAGGGGGTGCTGGGCGGGGGGTTTGGGATTGGGGTCATGAAGGGAGGAGAGCACGAGACGACTCTCAACTCCGCCTTTGAGATTCTCAGCGAGTCCTACCAGATCCTGCAGCAGGTGAGGGCTCAGGGCTGTAAGAAAGAGGGGGGGGAGATTAGGGGCTGTGATTGGAAAGGAGCTAGGGAGGAAGGGAGGTGGGGGGGTGGTAATGCGCTGCTTTTGCCTATCAACGTTCTCTACTTCCCCAACCCCCCCTCCCCTTAACCTTACCCTTCCCGTTCTCTCCGTCCCTTTGTTTCGCTTCATGCCCTGATTCTCTCCCTCTCCTCTTTCCTCGTCCCTTTCCTCCCATACCCCCCTCCCATACCAACTCCCACCTCTCCCCCCCACCTCCCCCACCTCCCTCCCAATTCCCCCTTTTCCAGGTTTGCGGACCTCTTCATCTAGACGTTGCAGCATGCTGCAGGTAAGCAGAGATACATTCAGATGTGCTCTCCCACTCCACGTGTAGTAAGTCGATTTTTTAGTCGACTCAAAAAACGTTGCAGCATGCTGAGGTAAGCAGAGATACATTCAGATATGCTCTTCCACTCCTCGTCAGCCATTTGTCATGTATAGTTGGTGCCCTCTCCCCAACCCTCGTTTGTAAGACCCCCTCCTCCACCCCCCGTTTGTGTCACCCCCTCCTCCACCCCCTCCCCCATTCCCATCCCTGCACCAACCGTTTGAGCCAGGTACCTGGCTCTGATCTTCTATCACGCGGGGGAGACCGGCAACGCCATTCTGCAGCAGCACCGTGAGCTGATTATCAACGAGCGCGTGGTGGGGACAGACCACCCCGACACCGTGCACAGGTGGGTGTGAGAGACACTGTGGTGGGGGGTCCAAGGGGGACGAACACGAAGGGGGGAAGGGGGCGCTGCAAGGGACAGTGCCTTGTGCAGCAGCACCGTGAGCTGATCATCAACGAGCGCGTGGTGGGGACAGACCACCCCGACACCGTGCACAGGTGGGAGTGTGTGTGAGACACCGTTGTGGGGGGCTGCAAGGGGATATGCAGGAGGGGAGGGGGTACAAGGTGGAAGCGCACTGTCTTATGCAGCAGCACCGCGAGCTGATCATCAACGAGCGGGTGGTGGGGACAGACCACCCCGACACCGTGCACAGGTGGGCTTGAGACTTTCCGTCTCTTGTGGTTAGTCAGGGTTTGGGGTATATGGTGTAGGGTGTAGAGGACTGCAGCAGCACCTCGAGCTGATTATCAACGAGCGCGTGGTGGGGACGGACCACCCCGGCACCGTGCACAGGTGGGCTGAGGCTCTGTTGCTCATGGATCAGAATCGGGGTTTATGGGCTAGGGTGTTAGGGACTACAGCAGCAGCACCGCGAGCTGATCATCAAAGAGATGATGGTGGGGACAGACCACCCCGACACCGTGCGCAGGTGGGTTACTAGCCAGGCGATAAAACTAGTGTTTTGAGACGTCTCATTCTCAAAACACTATTTTTATCACCGACACCGTGCACAAGTGGGTTACTAGCCAGGCGACTCCCCTGCACCCCCCTCCCCTTTTCCACACACAACCACGGGTGATAGGGGAATCGTTTAGCACCCTCTAGTACCGTTTGGCACCTTTGAGAACCTTTCTAGCAGCCCCCTTTTTTCCTCTTTGCTTATTGCATTCCACAGTCACGGTGGCAAATTAGCCAGGTGCACCTGTCATGTGCTTCCGGTCAGTATGTCCACCTATAGCAGTCCGCCACGTGGATACCCGGTGACCATGGCTTCCCATGCCATGCCCGCCTCTCTTCCCATGGGACATCCAATGCTGTCTTGTTGTGATCTCCTCTCCGTGCCATGACATACCCTGTCATGTCATGCCATGCCATGCCCGCCTCTTGTTCCCTGACACATGCTGTGTTGTTGTGCACCCCATGCTACGTCATGCCGTGCCATCATGCCATGTCCTGTCCGCTCCCTCTCCTCCCCTCCCTCTTTTTCTCTTTCCTCACCCCACCCCCTCACAACCCCTTCTCCCCCCCAATCACCCACACAGCTACGGCAACATGGCGCTGTATTTCCACGCCATAAGAGAGTCCGAGCTCGCTCTGCGTCACTTCAAGCGCAACCTGCTCTCTGCTCCCCTCAGCATGCCTCCCTCCCTTGCCCTCTGTCTTCCGTCCCTTTCCCCACATCCCCCCCCCCCCCACCACCACCACCAGCTACGGCAACATGGCGCTCTACTTCCACTCCATGGGAGAGTCCGAGCTCGCTCTGCGCCACTTCAAGCGCACGCTGCAGCTGCTCTCGCTCTCTGCCGGCAACGACCACCCGGAGGTGGCTTCTCTGTTTGTCAACATCGCCCTCACCTACCAGGTGTGTGTGCCATGGTGTGGGGTTGGTTATGATGCGTGTGAATGGCATGTTGCAGCCGCTGGCAACGACCACCAGGAAGCGGTGCTCTGTTGAGACCACAAGTGGGTCTCTTCAAAAGGCGGTGCACTGTTGAAATCACTTTTAATTATTCTCAAGAGTGAGAAGCTTCCGGCCGCCTCTCTCAAGTTACCTCCCTCCCCTCCCCCCTCCTGTTTCCTGTTGAACACCATGCCCTCGCCTTTGCTTTTTCTTCCATGGGCAAACACATAAGCAAGCCACAGTATGCGATGAAGTGTCTGCAGGAGGCGGTGTGAGTGTGTGAGAAGCTGCTTTTCCCCTCCTCAATACACCTACCCCTCCCTTCTTTCCTCCCTGCACCGGTGCATCTTCCCCCCTCCCCCCACCCCGTTTTCGCCTTTTTTATTTCATCACCAGGACATGGGAAAGTTGCAGAACGCCATGAAATATCTACAGGAGGCGGTGCGAGTCAGTGAGAAGCTGCTGGGGGAGAATCATGTGCAGGTGGCCGTCTGTCACCATGCGCTCGCCCTTGCGTTCTCTTCCATGGGCGCCTTCAAGCTCGCTCTACAGGTTCGTTACATTGGGGGTATATAGCGTGCAGCTGTTGGGAGTGAGTGAGGGATTCGTTCTTCTGTTCTGTTCTGCCCCATTCTCTCTCCTCTCCCCTAACCCACCATTCGCACTCTCAAAATCCCCTCTTTCCCCCACCACAGGAGGAGCGCAAGGCGCAGGCGGTGTTTGAGAAGGCGGTGGGGAAGGAGGACCCGCGCACCAAGGAGTCAGAGCAGTGGGTGCAGTCGTTCCTCGACCGCGAGCTCAGGGTGAGTCGGGGGGACATGTTGGCGTGTGTGTATGTGTAGCATGTGTGCATTTGAATGCATGGGTTGATCACTCAAGCAGCACCGAGTCGGAGCAGTGGGTGCAGTCGTTCCTCGACCGCGAGCTCAGGGTGAGTGCTGTGATTGTTGTTGGTGATGATGCATTGATGTGTGCATGCGGGGAGATTGCATGTGAGTGAGTGGGTTGATCACTCGAGCAGCACCAAGGAGTCGGAGCAGTGGGTGCAGTCATTCCTTGACCGCGAGCTCAGGGTGAGTGCGACTGCCACGTATGATTTAGTGCGTGTGTGGAAATGCTGTTACGCGTGTGCATGTGGGGTAGTGCAAGGGAATGAGTGCTTGCTTGCATTGCTCAAGCACCATTAAGGGGTCGGGGGAGTGGGTGCGTGCATGCGATGCTGGGGAGTGGTTGTAGTCGTACCTCAACCAGCAGCCCTCACTCACTTTCTGTTCGCTTTCCATCCCATGCCTTTCCCCTTACCCTCCACGTCTCCACAGGCGCAAAAGCAGAAGGTGGGGCAATCAGCAGCAACAGTCCAGCAGCAACAAGCAGCGGCTCTCCGTGTGGCCGAAGCTCTCAAGGTATGCCGAGGCTGCCATTTCGAACACATAAAGCATTGCCATTCTTTGTCCATGTTGCCATCATTGTTGGCGTGCTGCAGATAGTCTAGATTCGGAGTCCTGATCTACGCTTTTTCCTCTTGCCCATGCCTTCCTTTTCTTTCAGCAACGGCCGGAGCTGCTTCAGGTGTTGCAGGCAGCAGCAGCGCCCGGAGCAGGAGGCTCCACCTCGTACCAGCGTGCCGTGGCTGACGCTCTGCTTCGGGGAGAGGTCCCCCCACCTGCTCCCGGAGCTGGTGCAGGCAGGTTCGGCGGAGGCATGGGAGCTACAGGCTCCTCAGGCACTGGCATTCGAGCCAGAGGTGTGGACGAGCGGGCTTCCAGGGCTGCTGCAGAGGCTCGGCGGAAAGCAGCGGCTCGGGGGGTGAACCTACGAGGAGCTGCAGGTTCGGCAGGTGCCCGAGCCGGTGCACCCAGTGCAATGGACATGGAAGAACTGATTAATTTCATCAATAGCACGTCACCAGCTTCTGGTGCGGCTAGCTCTTCCGCTAGTAAGACAGGCTCGGCACCTGCTCCGGCAGCTGGCTCGGCAGGTGGTTCGGCGGCGCCTGCTGGGCTTGGCGGTGTGGGCCTTGGTGTTGGCGTTGGTGCTGTCTCAGGAGCTCCGCCTCCCACGAAAGCTGGAGGAAAGAAAGGTGCGGGAGCAGCAGCGGCAGCAAGCAAGCCCGCAGCTACGGCAAATGGGGAAGCAAGTCAAGGGGATGCTCCTCTGGGTCTGGGGGGAGGGCTTGCTCCCTTGCCTGGTGGCAAGGGTAAGGGCAAAGCCAAGTAGAGGAGTGAATAGGTTCACTTTTTATTGGATAACTTGTAGAGAATTTTGGATCATGAAGGTGCAACTCACATGTATTGCAACCACAAAAACAACAAAATGTGATGGAGTCGATTTGGGAGGATCTGTTCTTAGTCAACCATGGTAGTTGAAACAAATGGATGGTGCTTACATGTGGCCTGTACTGAGGACTTGCAAGTTTATGAACCATAGGAAAGTCTGGCTGAAAGCACATTTTCTTTCTCAAGTATTAACTTGTTATTTTGTTTTCTATGCAGTTCCGAGTGCAGTGTTCTATTGTTAAAAGAGAGTGCGCAGGTAAACGAATAACGAGACTGTGATTGATGAGCTGAGAATACAATGAATGCACAGACTAATGTACGGTAGGGCTAGCCTAGCTAGGAGGAAACCTCGGACAAGCGAGGTTGGGTGCAGGTTTGGCGATGGAAATGCCGAAGGCGACGCGAGGAGCCTCGGCAGCGTTAAAATCGGCCGAACGTGCGAACTCCGAGAATCGGGTTGTACGCGAAGCAGTCAACCCCGATAAGGAATTCGGGAAAATTCCTTACACCACCCCCCCCCTTAAGAAAGGCGGTCAATATCCGAAACACGCCTTCGCGCCAGGTAATCACCAACAAGTGGCGAGGCGTCGAGCGAGGCGGATGGCACCCACGTGTCGTCCTCGCTGGAGCGGTCAGTCCAGCGAATTAAGAAATCCACGTGTCGGCCAGCTGCGTCAAGGCGGACCCGATGAGCGAGGATTTTGGAAGGGTCAAGGGTCGGCTCCGGGACAGGTCGTGCTGTCGGGGCAGCGTGCTGACGTGCGATGTCGGTCGTTGCTGGCACGAACTGTCGAAGAAGGCTGACGTGGAAGGCGTCATGAATGCGCCAGTCGTCGGGTAGCAACAGCTTCGCGGTGACAGGTGTCACCATCTTGAGAATCTTGAACGGCCCGCAAAATCGTGGCCGTAGTTTCGATGGACCGGGCAGGTGCAGGTTCTTCGTGTCAAGTAGCACTAGTTGCCCAGTTGTCAAGACGAGTTCCCGTCAGAGAAGGTCGGTGTATTTGCGGGAAGTAATATTCGCCTTGCGAATTGCGCCTACGGCTTTTTCTTGGACTTTCTGAAGTTCCGTCACGAAAGTCTGTGACCTCGTGACCGGATTGTCGAGAGTAGTTGCCGTAGGAACTGTCGGGTCCATCCCGTGATTCAGGAAAAATGGGGAGTGATTAGTCGTGCTGGACGGTGCGTTGTTGAAGGCGAATTCCAACATCGCGAGCGAGTCTTCCCAGCAGCCAGGGTCAGGGCAGTTTGTCCTGATCAGCTGCTCCATGGTCTGATTGGTCCGCTCGGTTTGACCGTCCGTCTGTGGGTGATATGCCGATGAGAACTGTAGCTTCGTGCCGTACTGCGCCCACGTCTCCTTCCAGAACTTGGATGTGAACTTCGGGTCTCGGTCGCTGATGATCGCCGAAGGGATGCCGTGCAGTCGCACGATCGTTGAGATGAAGAGGCGCGCAGTTTCTTCGGCCGTGATTGTCGTTCGGCATGGTGCGAAGTGCGCCATTTTCGTGAAGCGATTGACGACGACGAGAACAGCGTCGTTGCCGGACGGCCCAGCTGGCATCCCCGTGACGAAATCCATCGTCACTTGCTGCCACGGTCGTTCGGGTGGCTCGAGGGGTTGCAGCAGCCCAGCTGGTCGCTGACGTGTCGATTTCATTGCTTGGCACACCCTGCATGAGGACACATAGCGCTGCACGTCGTTAGATGAATTAGGCCGGTAATATTGACGGTGCAATAGTTTCTGGGTTTTATCAACCCCGAAGTGTCCGGAGAAATTCGAATCGTGGATTTCCTGGATGAGAAGTTCACGCAGCAGTCGGTAAGCGGGAACCCAAATCCGGTCAGTTCCGGCTTTTAGGTAATAGTCCCCTTTCTGCGTCGTAGCCTGCTGATGATTTCCCGTCGTGAAGAATGGGTCCGTCGTGTAGCCGTGGGTAAATAGTCCGGTAAGTAACGGGTTCGAGTGGGTGATGAGTACTGCAGCGGATTGTACTGTCGGTCGGGTCAGGGCGTCGGCGATGTTATTAGCCCCTTTTTTGTACGTGATGCGGTAGGTGAAGTGGCTCTCCATGTAGTCCAGCCACCGAATCTGTCGTGGGTTGAGGTTGGGTTGGGCTCGCAGATACTGTAGGGACTTGTGGTCCGTGCGATCAGTGACGTCGGCGCCCACCAAGTAGCATCGCCATAATTTAAACGCGTGTATGATGGCGAGCATCTCCTTGTCGTGGATCGGGTAGTTGCGTTCGGCTGCCTGCAGCTTGCGTGATTCGTACGCTATCGGCTGCTACCCGTTCCCAAAATCTTGGAGAAGCACAGCTCCGATGGCGAAATCTGAGGCGTCGGTTACAACTTTGAACGGCTTCGATGGGTCGGCGATGCGCAGCACAGGAGGGGAAACGAGGAAATTCTTGAGTTCCTGGAAAGACGCTTCTGCCTCCTCCCCCCACACAAAATTCCTGTCCTTGTGCAGCAGGTCGGTCAGCGGGCCGGTTATCCCCGCCATATTCGGGATAAACCGCCGGACGTAATTCACGAATCCGAGAAAACTCTGAAGTTCCGTGACGTTCGTCGGGGACTTCCACTCCTGTTGATAAGAAACGAGAATGAATGCACTATGAAAGAGTTGGGTACAAGCACTAACCCTAATTGGGTTGTACCCCATATGGGCTACCCCACTACAGCCTACACAAAAGCATGAGCTATAATGTTCTGACACACCCCCATAGGCAAAGTGGGGGAGTACAAGGGGTCACAAGACCAGTCAAGCAAAGCAAAGCAAAGCAAAGCAAGCTCAGGGTGGATCACAAAGTCACCACACATTCCGAGCACAAGGTCAAGGCCACAAGGCCAGTTCACATGCAGGAGTACATATATATATAAAAGGCTAGACAAGCAAGAGCAGGTGTATATATATATGTAACAGTACAAGCAAGGTTAAGAGGTGAGCAAGTGAGGCAAGGTAGGCACAAGACCCAGCTGAGTACAGAAGCGCTGATGGTCACAAGGCGCAAGCGCCTTGGTGAAGATATCAGCAGTGTTGGCCTCAGAGGCCACGTACGCAAGACGCAGCTGACCACGCTGCTGCAGCTCACGAGCAAGAAAGTAGCGGAGAGCAATGTGCTTCGTTCTGTGCTCCAGTCGCTGCTCCCGACACAAGGCCAGCATGGCCTTGTTGTCTACGTACAGCACTGGAGGAGAACGAGGCGGCTCTCCGAGGTCAGTCAGCAGGTAGGTGAGCCAGCGTAGCTCCTGTGCAGCCATGGCTCCTGCGTAGATCTCAGCCTCACAACTGGAGCTGAGAACAGAAGACGAGCGAGTAGCCCGCCACGAGACAGAGCCGGAACTAAGGCTAAAGGTGTAACCCTGTGACGACCGCTGCGTAGCCTGGTCGTCAGCCCAAGAAGCGTCTGCGTGCCTTGTGAGGACCACTGGACTCTGCCCTCCAAGCACAAGCCCCATGCCTGACGTACTGCACAAGTAGCGCAACACCCTCTTCGCTGCAGCCATGTGCTCCGGTCTGTGTCTCCCAGGAGCAACATAGCGTGCAAGAATGCTAAGAGGGTATGCAAGGTCAGGTCGTGTGCAGGTCATCAGGTACATGAGGCAGCCAACAAGCTCTGGGTACGGGCCACTCGACTCTACGGACTCATCCGAAGGCAGAGCTGAGAGCGAGTGGCGAGTAGGCAGAGGAGTGGCCTGAGGCGAGGAGTACGTGAAGCCGAAGCGCTGAAGGACCTGCTGCACCATGTGTGACTGAGTCAGGGTATTGGTGCGGCGTGCTCTGTCCCGAGTGATCTGCAAGCCAAGGTAGCTGCGCAGTTCACCCAGGTCAGTGCACGTGTGTCTATTCTGCAGCTCGGACTTCACGTGGGCGAGTCCAGCAGTGTCAGCTGTGGCAAAGACTAAGTCGTCGACGTACACGAGGATGTAGAACGGCGGCAGAGAAGTGTCAGTGCGCAGAAACAGTGACGGGTCAGCAGTAGAGGGAGCAAAGCCAAGCGCCGCAAGTGTAGTCCTCAGTGTGTCGTGCCACTCACGCGGTGTCTGGCGGAGACCGTAGACTGGCCGCCAGAGGCTCCACTGGGTGCCAGGAGGAAAAGACCCAGTGAAGCCAGGTGGGCGACGCAGCCAGATCTCCTCGTGCAGGCTGCCCTGCAAGAAAGCAGTGCTGAAGTCAAGAGAGTGTAGCTCGTAGTCACGGTGAGCAGCTATGTGCAGCAGTACCCGAAGAGTGGTCATCTTCGGGGTGGGAGAGAAGGTCTGAAAGTAGTCAACTCCCTGCCGCTGACTGAAGCCACGAGCAACGTAACGCGCCTTGAAGACTGGCGGAGAACCCGGCGGTCGCTTCACCCTGAAAATCCACATGCCACTGACGATGTTCGCCCCAAGAGGGGGAACAGCGTCAACGTAGGTGCCTGTGGACTTCCAGGAAGCCATCTCTGCGTCCATAGCTGCCTGCCACTGAGAGGAGTAGGGACCCTCTATCGCCTCCGCGTAAGAGCGCGGAGTCGGGATGTCAAGTGCATCCGGGTCTCCCTCAGGGGTAAGTAGTACGGACACGAGATGAGGTGAAGCATTGGCTAAGCACTGGAACTCCTCCTGCCTGTCCTCGAGGACGTCCGTGCCAAGGGCACACTCACCCCCGACGGACGGAGTACAGACAGACTCAGACTCAGCAACAAGACTGGCGGCGTAGTCTAGGCGACAGCGAGCAGCAAAGTCGACGAGCTCCGCAACTAGGGCAGACGCAGCAGTGGACTCAAAGGAAGGGTCAGTGACAACAGTAGCAAGGAGACGTGTGACAGTAGGACTGGCAGCACGAAGAGAGTCCGACTCCGGGTCGGCAAGAGCAGGAAGAGAGGACTCAGGAGGAGAAGGCAAAGGGGCACGCAGAGGAGCAGTGGATGGACGCAGAGACATCCGGTGCGTGCCAGGGAC